TGAGAGGCGGGACACCGAAGGGCCGTTCGACCCGCCCGGTGTATGTGCGGGGCGGGGCGGGGCGGGGCAAACGGGGTCGTCGCAGGCTCACAAGGGCGAAGAGTTCACCCCCGAAGGATGTCGTGAATACGCGCGCATGCAGTGACGTCACAAGGATGCGCTTATAAGAGGCCGCGGGGGACGCTGCCGGCTCATTCTCTCTGCGGTCGTGAAGGCAGATGGTTGCTGCTCCTCTCGCTTCGCTGTTCGAGGCTTTCCCTGCCGTTTTCTTTCTCGTCTGTTGGTGTTTCCCTCACTCTTAGCTTCTCTCGCTGTTTCGCGTCGTTTTTTCGTTCGTTGGAGAGGAATGGATGCACGGGGCAATTGCGTTGATGAATCGGTCAAAGTGGGAAGACCTAGGGCATGCAGGGAAAAAAATGAAGGAAGGAATCGTGAGATGTGATGCAGTCCCTTCGCTTTCCTCGGTCTCGCATGTCTGGCATCGCCCTGGGAATCCGGATCTAAAAGCAGGCATGCTTTTCCTCGTGGGGATATGCAAAGGACGGGATATATGCTTCTAGGCCAATTCGAAGGAGAAAATCTTCGCAACGCCCCCGACGTGCTAGCTAAAACTTAACTTTTCCCATCGCATCAGGTTGGGTCGCGAACGACACCACTGCTGTAAAAGTGATGTCGGCAGTGGGCCTTTGCGACGTTTGATGCGAAAAGGGGATTATTTGAATTGCTTTTGGGTGTTGAAACAAGCGAGAGCAACCAAAGGGGACCGACAGATATGACTTCCTCGTCGCATCCACAAACATTATTTCTTCCCGTTTCGCTGGTATTGATGATAGGGGTGAGCATTGTCACGGTGAGACTCGGGGTCGGCTTGGTGCTCAGTGTCCTTGATGGTTGCATGGCCATCTGGTGGTGATTCAAGGTCACCCTTCATTTCCTTCCCAGTCGAAATGTCTGCGATTCGTGTACCGTAGCAATGTTGCTGGTAGTCGATTATTTACTTCCCTGTTATAAATATATCAGGTGAAAACCTCCTTTTGAGGTTTCTTTGTCGTCTCGAGAGTCAGGTAACATCTGCTAGCACTGACCTTGCCCTTTGGTCCAGTACTGCCTGACATCTCCCTGGGGAGGCTTCGTCTCAATATGAGAGCATTCAGCGATTCTAATTTATTCTCGATGTTGCATGAAGGAAAGGATCGGATGCCCGTGGCCAGAAACCTCAGAGACCTGGTCGAATTTACGACGGCACTATTTATGAAATTTATGAATTTATCGACGGAAGCGCCATCTTGCATCGTCCGTGGTGACCTTTAGAAGACCAACCAGCTGCCCGTTTGGCGTTCGAGGTCGTCCTGCGCCTCATCGGAAGGAGAATTTTTTTCTTCTTCCTGCTGCTTTTCGCCAGGGCATGGAAAGAGAGCAGATGCCATATCCACTCGGTGTTGTGTGCCGGATTACTGAATCGGCGAACAAAAAAAATGCATCAGTCGAGGGACACCAAATTTTTTTCTTCTTCCTGCTGCTTTTCGCCAGGGCATGGAAAGAGAGCAGATGCCATATCCACTCGGTGTTGTGTGCCGGATTACTGAATCGGCGAACAAAAAAAATGCATCAGTCGAGGGACACCAAACCTCTGGGTACGATGATAAAAAAATCAAAATTACCACGACCTGAATTTCAAATAAATTAGCCAATAGTCATGGGACAGGCCGTGTGCCCTCTCGAGTGGTATGGACCCCAAAAAGCCATCAATATCGAAACGTATTCGAGGGAAGCAATTTTAAGGCCGGAGGGGTAGGAGTTCTTCTCAATAACTCGCTTTGTGTTGCCATCTACCGGTTGCCCCTTCGAAATCGTGGCTGATGGAAGAAACCGTCCGATAGTGCTGCCAATTTTATTCAGCCAATTGCCAGAGAATCTGCATTTTTTTCTTTTTGTTGTTCCATCGTTGTTTTACTCTTTTTTTTCGTTTCTTTGAAGCAAGGAATTTAAAAAAAAGTTTGTGGACTGAGGCAGTCTCAATCGGACCAAATCTTAATCCCCCATGCAAATCGATTTGCAATTGATGCAAATGTCGTCGACCGTTTTGGAAGATTTCCCAGCGCCTTCAGTTCACTTTTGCTTGCCGACCTCCGAGTTTGAAGACGATTCTGTGGATCCTCCAGCGCTGAAAAAAGGAATAAGGACGGTAGCTCGTATTGGTAATGAATCAAATGTTTTGAAAATATTTTCAAGTATTTGAAACGCTCCATTTCCTTCAGAGTGCCTCATGAAGGGTTGACCATTTTTTCGGGTGAAATTTCTGCTGAGTTCAGTTATCTGAGAGACTTGGAGGAACATGCTGGAGTTTAAGATTGATTCGACATTGATTCGAGGCGCGAATTTTCACTCCGGAGACAGAGGGAAGGAGTGGATCAAACCGAATTTTCAGAAGCCGGTTAGTGAAGATCGGGCGGTTAACCGATGGTTAACCGTTGAGACCCTTGATATGAGCGCTTTTAGTCTCGTCCGTCCCCCAAATCCCTGCATTGCAGCAGGAATTCCCCACTTCATTTGATTTTGATGGGAAAACAATTCAAAACCATATTACGTTAATCCTTATGTTAATGTTAATCATTATGTTAATGTTAATCATTATGTTAATGTTAATCATTATGTTAATGATAATAATTATGTTAATGCTAATCCTTTATGTTAATCCTTTCGTGGGCTGTGTCTAATTTAGTGTGGGCTTAGCGGCGGACCTCACCAAGGAGTGGAGGAGGAGCCACCCCCTACCGGACACCTCCCACCTCTAAGAGACATCCCCCGGACCGGGACAAGGGGGTGGAGGCGAGACCAGATCGTGGACTAGACACTAGGTGCGATCGTGTGACGTTGTATAACGGTGTGCATTGTATGTCTGGATTGTATAGGGACGTGGAAATTACTCCTGTCGTCCTCGACTTATCAACTTCCCTCATGCCTGGTGCCTGTAGACTGTACGAGTGAGTTGTATGCATTCAATATATCCATCGTTATTGATGCTGAACAGTCTAGTCCTTCCGAATCTCAGCGGTACTTATCTAATTGGAGTCAGTCCGTATATAATAGCGCATTCGGCTACCTCGCCCACAATGGCGTCCCTATCCTTAGTACCGATGAAAGTAAGGAATCCGTTTCACGCGTTTCTGTAAAATTTATTTAATAGTAAAAATGAAGGAAGATGTCGGCTTTCCCAGATAAAAATGGTCAAGGAAACATTTTAAAAGTGAAGTTGTTCCCAGTGACCTCGGTCGAATTGTTCTAAACGTTATTGCTTAGTGCTTAGTGTGTTCCTCCCACGTCAACTTGCGATGCTTGCATTTTGCATTTTTGCAACTTGATTGCCACTGTGGGAAACTGCTCATCGCAGCGATCGACGATGCGTTGTTTTCATTTTTTTTTGCAACCGGTTTTATTGAGAAGCAGATTGCGAGCACACTCCCGCTCCTCAAGACGCTTCGATATACAAGAAGACTCTCTGGACGTTCCCACACAGGTCTTGAGAAACGGGAGCGTGTTCAGGGGGAATTTCACGCTTATTTCCTTTACGGCAGTGGTGCATAACCTTTTCCCCTGAGAGGGCCTAAATGAGATTTCGAGGGCCGCAGGCCTTGGAACATGAGCCGAAGTAAGCCGCATATAAATATGGAACTTTAGAGACCGGGGGCATCGAAGGGGTCGGCAAAAAAAAGGTCTCCGCGGGCCGCATGCGACCCACGGCCCCGTAGGTTGTGCATCACTGCTTTATACTCTTCTGTCTGTGAGTCGACCGGGTGACTCTTTTCGTGTCATTTGGTGTCGTTTGCGTTCCCACACGAAATCGATGCAACCCGAGGGAGCCAGAGATGGAAGAGAATTTTAAAGAGTTTCATCTGCTGGGGTGCCTATTGGAAAGAGGGCAAGAAGAAGAAAGCAGGCGAGGTCCGTGGCGGTTCAGGAGGCAAGGTCTGGGGGAGGCCAGGAGGCAAGGTCCAGGGTGGTCGTGGTTACTTCCTGTTGCAGACTTTGCAGAAGAAGCCTCGCCCTTGCCCTGGTGCCATGCCGCAGAGGATGACCAGGAGAAACAATGCCATTCCTGGAAAAACCGATCATAATAAAAATAATTATTGCGCCTGAACGCCTGGGAGGGAGGTTTCATGAAAGGAGAAATCATGTCTATGGCAGTTGACGCGCGCGTCTTCCACGAGGCGTGGCTGCTTGAAGTCGAGCAGCTCGTGTCGAAAGCGTTCAGTTCCATTTACTCCATTCCTCATTCATCATTGGCTTTGGGAGGTACTTAAGGGGCGAATATACCGGTTGGGATGCTTTCAAAATATCCGCACGTACAAGGCTCACTTAGAAATTTAAAAAATAACTAGGACTGTACCAGTGGCCACATTTGGCCAATTGCCAATTTTTTCCTCGTAACCATCGGCCTTTAAATTCAAATAGGCCTAATTTGAAGCCATGTGATACTCATCAGAAAGCCTCCTTGAAACGAAAGACACCTCTTTAGGTCCTGTCCAGCCTGTCTGTCTCTTTATAAGGCTGTCAATGGTTAGCGTGCCATTGCTGCTGTTGAGAGCATTTAGTGACACATTCCTTGCAAAAGCATAACGTAAGTGGAGACGCAATGGCTTCCCTTATTTGCCGCTCCTTTCCTCTGCCGTCCCCTATAATCCGGCTTTAACATAATCCGATCGATATTTTTGTCTGGGAGAGACTGGCAGGACTGGCAGGGCTGTTTTTTTCGCTTTCCCCGTCCGTTGGGCACCGGCATCGGCGCCGGCACCAGAGGCCGATGGCCGATAGGGCCGATAGTACAGCACCCACGGCCGATAACGGTGCTAGTCGATACATCGGTATACCCCTAAAAATAATACAGAGTAATTTCTAAAAATAATGATTGGACCGGTGAAAATTACTCTATTTCAGCGGAATTTTGTCCATAGACATCCGAAAACGAGGAATATCTCTGAATCTACCGTACCGAATTACTAGGGATTCGTCGCATACCGAAGAGAGAAGGTAGGGTGACCTTCAGGAGGAGGTTGGTTTCCGGCGCCGATTCCACGTTGACGTCTGGAGGTCTGGTTGTGCTCGTGCTCGTTGTTGGTTGCACTGCGAAATGCATCATTAAATCCTTAAAAGGAGGACTATACAAGCGAAAGCCGAGAAAGGAAAATGTTTACAGTTGGGAGATCTCACCTGCAACAGGATTCGACTGCTTTACTTGTTGGACATTAGCGGAGCCGGATGTCTGAGGATAGAGATTTGTGCCGGATGTTTTAGGAGTGCTTGATGTCAGCAAAACGCCACCAATATTGGATGTCCCAGCAGAAGACGCCGTTTGTCCAATGGAATTTTCAGACGTCCCACGAGTAGAACCAGTTGTCCCACCGGTTGAGTCAGACATACCAGCAGTGGTCGGGTGAGTCTCAGTAGCTGCCCCTTGAGTTGTCCTTGATCCAGGAAATGTCTGCCAGGCGCTGCTGGATGACTGTCTGGCATTTTCCCTAGGTGTGTTCACAATGTCAAAGGACCCAGTGGAGCTGCGATGTACCAATGTGACGGATTCAGGTGTGGTCCCTGTATTTGACGTCTGACTAGTCCTGCCAGAAGTCTGCGGTACAGATTTTGCAGTAGTGGTCATGGGGGTCGTCTGACTAGTGGCGATAGATTTCTGTGTGACAGCCTGCGCAGTGGTGGTCATGAGGGGCGTCTGACTAGTGGCGATAGATTTCTGTGTGACAGCCTGGGCGGTGGTGGTCATGAGGGGCGTCTGACTAGTGGCGATAGATTTCTGCGTGACAGCCTGCGCAGTGGTGGTCATGGGGGGCGTCTGACTAGTGGCAATAGATTTCTGTGTGACAGCCTGGGCGGTGGTGGTCATGAGGGGCGTCTGACTAGTGGCAATAGATTTCTGTGTGACAG